ACACACACACACACACACACACACACACACACACACACACACACATCGCCACGAGATCGAGCTACCAATAAAACTACCAATAAAGCAGCTGCTAGCTATGAGCTGCAGTTAGAGTTCTTGCCCCGACACCGTGCCTGGCGGCTTCTGAGGGTACCATAAGTGCGGGCGCTGCATGTATATCCGGTGAGGATGAGTGTACCAGAGGCACCAGCGGCACCAGCGGCATTCTCTCATATTGCGCTCATAATAAACGTATAGATTTCTTCAATCCCAATTCTACGCCCTCCGACCCACCCTTCCACACGGTCCACCCTTCTACCCATCAATGCCCATCCATCACACACTCTTCTCCCTCTTCCCCACTCCGTTCAACTCCTCTACGCCTTGCATCTTCCTTTTCCGTCCATCCCCTCCATTCCCTCCGCCTCCTTCTTCCCCCTCCATTCCCTCCGCCTCCTCCTTCTCCTCCATTCCCTCCTTCTCCTCCATCCCCTCCACCTCCTCCTGCATCTTCCCTCGTAATGCTAGAGCCTCGATCGGCGGTAAACTTACGCCTCTAATATAATGCAATACTTATACTTGGAGAGGGGAAATTCTACAGTCTGTAAACTGTTCAAACGGTTCTACCACTGTTTTATGTGAGATGCCATAATGTTTCTCGCATTTCTAATAGAATGTATCATCTGAATATCTTTTGTTGGAACAAATTTTTTTATCCGACTCGTGAAATATCTTATGAAAAACAGTGGTAGAAGCTCATAGACTTTTATAGCTAAACAGTTAAAGATTAACGGAACTGGAAGATAGCGGCTGAGTCGCTGCTGAGAATATGTACTATTAGTTGTAACGTCTACACAATATGTACATTGCTATATGCACATAATTATTGTGTAACATATGTTTTACAGATGTTTACATAGAGTAGTAAGTGGAGTTAGACTAGGGGTTGTTTTAGTAATAGTCTATCTAAACACAGCATCGCGCGTTTTGTGTGGTCGCATTGATGTTACAGGGAATAGGCAGATTCTCGAGTCATTGTGAAATACGGGTGCAGATCGAGTGTAGACATGGCGGGGGTTTTGAGGAAGACAGAGAGGTAGGAGTCGAGGAGTCTGGTTGTGGTCGGGAGAGTATAAGCACATTTAATCTCGCGCGTTTCTTTGTCTCTTTGTGCAAGATGGACACACTGTGTGCGAGCATATATTAAAGTTTATTCAATTTAATACACAAGTTTGGATTCATTCTATATCATGTTTCAACAAACGTAATTCAACGTTACATTTGTGTTGTTAATTGCAATTACGCTGCTGTTAACTGCTGAACCACATCCGCTACAAATTCGCAAACTGTAACATTTTCACTCTCGCATGCGTGTAGGCGGTTGCATGCAATCAGGAGTGAATAATAATAGATTCTATATAGGGGGTCTAATAGATAAATTATTAATTCCTGCTCCTGATAAATAATTTTAATAGCAAAGGGTGAACGGAAACAAACTAGGGTTAACAGATGGGATGATGGTTGAGAATATTATATATAAATAAACATAGACAGCGAGAGGGGTAGAGCGCGTGCAAGAGAGAGAGAGGGGGAGAGAGACAAACAAACACACACGCGCACGCACGCACATACACGCGCATACACGCACACACACGCGCGCACACACACACACACAAACGCGCGCACGCACGCACATGTGTGTGTGTGTGTGTGTGTGTGTGTGTGTGTGTGCGTGTATGTGTGTGCGTGCGTACACACACACACACACACACACACACAACACACACAAGACAGTGCAGTCAGATAACTTGTCATTTTATTTTTTTATTATTATAATTTTATCTTTTCTGCCTCGATGGCAACTTACAAATTCTGAAATTACATCCTATCTACCTTGTCTAACTAAACATGTCTCGGTGCACATGCATGACCATTGCATTGTTGAGCCTTAACTGGGTCGTGCTGAGTCGGGGGGGGGCGGGCAATCCATATATATTGCATGGTAGGTATTTGCCGCGGGAGAGAGCCCCATTTTCAACCCTAACCCTAAACCGCCGTTCCAGTGCATCGCATTTTTAAGAATATCTCGTTCCAGAGCATTAAGTTTAGTTACCATGCAGATCTTACAATTTTGTTGTTCCGTAGACCCTAGTTTTTAATATTTCCGTTCCATTGCATGTCGTACTTCAGAATACGTTGAAGCCGGGCCGTCAATGCATGCATGCAACGGGGTATTACTATTAATA